ACAACGCACACACACACACACCACACACACACACACACACACACACACACACACACACACACACACACACACACACACACAACACAGAATTAAAGTGAGAACACAGGCAGAGACTTGCATGGAATTCCAGCTGTGAGCTGTGCTTACAAAAAATAGGACTAGATATTCTCCCTTTATCAAGACCTCTGCAATATGTCAATTGAACTTGATTGAAGCTGTAAAAAATAATAAAAACCACTGACAATTACTATTTACCCAATTAATGCTCTGGACAAGTTATTTGTCTTCCTGTCCCTATCTAACAATCTAACAATCTAACACTCCCCACTATCCCCCATAGCTCTAGGTCCTGCCTCTCAAGATTACTTATCAGAACAAAATTTAACCACATTGAAGCCTAGAATTTCTAGGTTCTAACGAAGATTTTTAGAATGCAGTTCAGATACGTTTGAAGATAGACAGATAGACACTCACAGACAGAGAGATACAGAGATGTGCAGACGCAGCAAACAGAGACATACAAACATACAGGAAAGAGAAGTTGAGTAGCATGGACCGTTCTGTCTCCTGATTATTTTGGGTTGTATGGCTCCACTACAGCTGCTTCCTGGCCATGTTTATTCCACAGATGTCGTGGTCATTTCTCTCAGTCTTTTACCCCCTCTCCTGACTCTTCTTCCCCCCTTTCACCCCCTAAACCCCCCCCTCCACTCCTGTTCTCCCAACTATCCTGTATCTCTCCCAATCACCCACTACTCCTGATCACCTATTTCCTCCTGATTGTTGAGCTCTGTGTGCTTTTGATATGGTTATGGGTGCTCTTCCTGATTGGCCCCCTTGTCCTTCCTGATCTTGCTCCCCCTCATCCCTCGCCTCATCTGCTGACCTTATATCCTCACTTCTCGCCTCATGATGACCACTGACCCCTCTTGGCTTCACCTTATTTATTGGGACAATTTTTCCCCTTACCACGACATCTACTGTCTGGCCTTTTCTACTTTTAACTTCTTCCATCTTTGTGAGTTTTTTTCTACTTCTTACCTCTTGGTCTTCAGCTGCTCTCGACTCTTGACCTCTTCCATTCCCTATGTTCTTATTTCCTCCTCTTCCTTCCTTTTGTCTCTCTTATCTTCTCTTCCTCATGTCCTGTTTCTTCTCCTGATTTGGTTTTACCCCCTTTTCACCTCTTTTTTTCCCCAGCCCTATGTTGTCGACTCCCTCTCCAATACACCTCTCCCACACCCCTTAACCTCTTCCACACCCTTGACCTCTCACTTACCACCGACCTCTCCCTGACCCTCGTAGCCGGCTGCTGGAACACCAAACCATTATCTGCTCGCCTAAAAATGCTCATTACTATTTCCATCGGTGATTAAACTACATTTAAATGAACCCATTTTCCTCTGGATTATTGGGACTTAATCTATCATTACAAAGGAAGATTTACCAATATCAATCGCCAAAGTTGTAATATATCTGTGTGGTAATGCTTATATTTTGAGGGGAAATCCATTTAGAATTGCAAAATCCACTTTTTATTCTTTAGTGAAGCGTGGGATAATGGCTGTATTTTCTATAATTAACTTGCTAGTTTTAAACAGAGCATACAAAAAACCTGTGTTAAATATAGCCTGCACAATCTATCTGGTTTCAGCTTTAAAAGTTGTCTTTGATGCAGTATTTGTCATATATTCATTCACACACACACACACACACACACATTTGAAACTATACACGGTTTCAAATGTAGATATGATAGAGTCCAGTAGGCTCAGGAATCTGTACACCGGTTGATTGACAGTTAAGAGGCGGGACCAAAGAGCCAGAGCTCAACTCCCGCAAGCACAACTAGATGAATACACACACAAAGAACTATCACATACAACACAAAAACACTAAATACAAGCAATACAACAGAGCTAGACCAACATTACTCCTAGTTTCTTATAGTCCAAACGCCAAGAGCTGTTGTCAAGCCGGGCAATACTTGACAAGTCTAACGAACAAACGGCAAGGAACTAAATGACTGAACCACAAATGAATACCACTCTAATATTCAGAAAAGTTGACGGAAAATTAGATTATAGATCTATTTCCCATCTATTTAAGGACACACAATGGATTATAAGGACCTGTTTTTTTAACAAACTTTGAGTACCGTAAATTAAGGTAAAAACAACATGGATTCAGATATATATATCTTCCTGCTCTCTCTCTCTCTCTCTCTCTCTCTCTCTCTCTCTCTCTCTCGTCTCTCTTCTCTCTCTCTCTCTCTCTGTAACTAATATCATGAGGTGACACATCTTCAGTAAAAAGACAGCTTCTCTCCCTAAATATAGGAACTCCCTAAATATAGGAAGGGAGCCGGTCGGCCGAGCGGACAGCACGCTGGACTTGTGATCCTGTGGTCCTGGGTTCGATCCCAGGCGCCGGCGAGAAACACTGGGCAGAGTTTCTTTCACCCTATGCGCCTGTTACCTAGCAGTAAAATAGGTACCTAGGTGTTAGTCAGCTGTCACGGGCTGCTTCCTGGGGGTGGAGGCTTGGTCGAGGACCGGGCCACGGGAACACTAAAAAAAACGAAATCATCTCAAGATAACCTCAAGATAACCCAAGACCTCAAAACCGCTACAGATTTGTAGCGGTTTTGGATATCCAAAAAGCCTTTGATAAATGGACTCACACACACAAAAATGCCAATAATCTTATAGTTCGTGGAAACTGGAACAAAAATATACCACCTGGATCAGCGACGGGATTACTGATGAGGAAACAACGAGAAACATTTAGCTGGAGAATCGTTTTACAGGACTGTGAAATGAAATGAAACAAGTTAGATGCCGCAGGGATTTGTTCTAAGCCTCAACCGGTTTTTATAATGATATATATGAACGATATAGGAACACGATTACCTCCACCCACTAAAAATAATCTTATTTAGCTACGAGAAACAAGGCAGATTGAATGAATTAATTTCATATCACTTGGGCTAGACGGTTGAGCGACGGTCTCGCTTCATGCAGGTCGGCGTTTAATCCTCTCGATCCTTCAAGTGCTTGAGCACCATTCTTTTCCCCCGTCCCATCCCAAATCTGCACAAAGCACTAGATAAGTATTTTTGGAACGAGTGTAAATTATTGCTGTTTGAATAATGTAGAAACAGTTGTATTTGTCGCAGTGCGTCTACCGATAGACGACGTCGCAGTGCGTCTACCGATAGACGACGTCGCAGTGCGTCTACCGATAGACGACGTCGCAGTGCGTCTACCGATAGACGACGTCGCAGTGCGTCTACCGATAGACGACGTCGCAGTGCGACTACCGGTAGACAACGTCGCAGTGCGTCTACCGATAGACGACGTCGCAGTGCGTCTACCGGTAGACGACGTCGCAGTGCGTCTACCGATAGACGACGTCGCAGTGCGTCTACCGGTAGACGACGTCGCAGTGCGTCTACCGATAGACGACGTCGCAGTGCGTCTACCGGTAGACGACGTCGCAGTGCGTCTACCGATAGACGACGTTACAGTGCGTCTACCGATAGACGACGTCGCAGTGCGTCTACCGATAGACGACGTTACAGTGCGTCTACCGATAGACGACGTCGCAGTGCGTCTACCGATAGACGACGTCGCAGTGCGTCTACCGGTAGACGACGTCGCAGTGCGTCTACCGATAGACGACGTCGCAGTGCGTCTACCGGTAGACGACGTCGCAGTGCGTCTACCGGTAGACGACGTCGCAAGTGCGTCTACCGATAGACGACGTCGCAGTGCGTCTACCGGTAGACGACGTCGCAGTGCGTCTACCGATAGACGACGTCGCAGTGCGTCTACCGGTAGACGACGTCGCAGTGCGTCTACCGATAGACGACGTTACAGTGCGTCTACCGATAGACGACGTCGCAGTGCGTCTACCGATAGACGACGTTGCAGTACGTCTACCGATAGACGACGTCGCAGTGCGTCTACCGATAGACGACGTTGCAGTACGTCTACCGATAGACGACGTCGCAGTGCGTCTACCGATAGACGACGTTGCAGTACGTCTACCGATAGACGACGTCGCAGTGCGTCTACCAATAGACGACGTCGCAGTGCGTCTACCGATAGACGACGTCGCAGTGCGTCTACCGATAGACAACGTCGCAGTGCGTCTACCGATAGACGACGTCGCAGTGCGTCTACCGATAGACGACGTCGCAGTGCGTCTACCGATAGAACGACGTCGCAGTGCGTCTTCCGATAGACGACGTCGCAGTGCGTCTACCGATAGACGACGTCGCAGTGCACGTCTACCGATAGACGACGTCGCAGTGCGTCTACCGATAGACGACGTTGCAGTACGTCTACCGATAGACGACGTCGCAGTGCGTCTACCGATAGACGACGTTGCAGTACGTCTACCGATAGACGACGTCGCAGTGCGTCTACCGATAGACGACGTTGCAGTACGTCTACCGATAGACGACGTCGCAGTGCGTCTACCGATAGACGACGTTGCAGTACGTCTACCGATAGACGACGTCGCAGTGCGTCTACCGATAGACGACGTTGCAGTACGTCTACCGATAGACGACGTCGCAGTGCGTCTACCGATAGACGACGTTGCAGTACGTCTACCGATAGACGACGTCGCAGTGCGTCTACCGATAGACGACGTTGCAGTACGTCTACCGATAGACGACGTCGCAGTGCGTCTACCGATAGACGACGTTGCAGTACGTCTACCGATAGACGACGTCGCAGTGCGTCTACCGATAGACGACGTTGCAGTACGTCTACCGATAGACGACGTCGCAGTGCGTCTACCGATAGACGACGTTGCAGTACGTCTACCGATAGACGACGTCGCAGTGCGTCTACCGATAGACGACGTTGCAGTACGTCTACCGATAGACGACGTCGCAGTGCGTCTACCGATAGACGACGTTGCAGTACGTCTACCGATAGACGACGTCGCAGTGCGTCTACCGATAGACGACGTTGCAGTACGTCTACCGATAGACGACGTCGCAGTGCGTCTACCGATAGACGACGTTGCAGTACGTCTACCGATAGACGACGTCGCAGTGCGTCTACCGATAGACGACGTTGCAGTACGTCTACCGATAGACGACGTCGCAGTGCGTCTACCGATAGACGACGTTGCAGTACGTCTACCGATAGACGACGTCGCAGTGCGTCTACCGATAGACGACGTTGCAGTACGTCTACCGATAGACGACGTCGCAGTGCGTCTACCGATAGACGACGTTGCAGTGCGTCTACCGATAGACGACGTCGCAGTGCGTCTACCGATAGACGACGTCGCAGTGCGTCTACCGATAGACGACGTCGCAGTGCGTCTACCGATAGACGACGTCGCAGTGCGTCTACCGATAGACGACGTAGCAGTGCGTCTACCGATAGACGACGTCGCAGTGCGTCTACCGATAGACGACGTAGCAGTGCGTCTACCGATAGACGACGTCGCAGTACGTCTACCGATAGACGACGTCGCAGTGCGTCTACCAATAGACGACGTTGCAGTACGTCTACCGATAGACGACGTCGCAGTGCGTCTACCGATAGACGACGTTGCAGTACGTCTACCGATAGACGACGTCGCAGTGCGTCTACCGATAGACGACGTTGCAGTACGTCTACCGATAGACGACGTCGCAGTGCGTCTACCGATAGACGACGTCGCAGTACGTCTACCGATAGACGACGTAGCAGTGCGTCTACCGATAGACGACGTCGCAGTACGTCTACCGATAGACGACGTAGCAGTGCGTCTACCGATAGACGACGTTGCAGTACGTCTACCGATAGACGACGTCGCAGTGCGTCTACCGATAGACGACGTTGCAGTACGTCTACCGATAGACGACGTCGCAGTGCGTCTACCGATAGACGACGTTGCAGTACGTCTACCGATAGACGACGTCGCAGTGCGTCTACCGATAGACGACGTCGCAGTACGTCTACCGATAGACAACGTCGCAGTGCGTCGAATGGCAGTACTGGTACTTGCGATAATTTTTTTCCCCAGCGGGAGTGGAGGATGATGAGAGCCTTATGTTGTTCCATCGTAAGCTTCTCCCCCCAGATCAAACACCAGAAATTCCCAGCAGCATCAAAAGGAGCCACCAAGCCGGGGAGACGGTGTCATATAAAGTTGACTAAGAGTTTACGCTCTCCATGTA